AAAATTCATGTACTAAAGAGTTTCTGTTTTGGCTCAAGTAGAAGATTTTTTTAGATGTAATCCAACTTTATTGTGTGATCAGAATTTACCAGGTGCAATTTACATATTTGCATGCAAATATTGACAGAATTTTAAAATATTTTTGTTATTGTCCAATGTGCAAATTCGAACTTCTGAAAGTCTGTCAATTCCTGTCTTTTCAAGATGCTGCATATATACCCTCTAATCACTTTTCAGTCTTAGTGCTTTCTGTGAGATCTCTTGTCAAATGGGATTACATATTAAAAGGGACTACATTTGAAACAGCTTTCCCATAACACAATTTGATGGAGCCTGTGATGTGCCTATTGGCTAAACACGAATTTTATTTCAATTGAACTCTATTAAGGCCCTGGAATCAGGACGTTACCCCGTTTGACTTTAACATAATCAGTCAAATTAGCCTAGACCTAGAGGCCAGGATCTGACAGATATTGGGTGAAAGCTAAACTAAATCATGCTAGCAGTTACAATACTAATGTGAACATAAAATTATATTTACAATTCTAGAATGAATCTAGGTAGTCTAAAATAAATGTAGCTTTAGGTATAAGTTGAGCAGTGGATGTTCTTTGTATTAGTGATAAAGAAATAAGCATTAAAAATATATAAGGTCAATAAAACTTTTCCTAGGACTGAAAGTTTTTTGGAAGTTAAGTACTCCTATGACAAATCTAAGCCCCATTTCAAAAGAGGGGCACTAAATATTTCATTCAAAATTTGTTTGGAATTTTACCAGCACAGGTGATGAATGTAAAGATAATTGTTTTCCTTAAGGTGCTTGAATATATTAAGTTTTATTTGTAATTGTAATTATGATTTAAAAGATATTGTGGAAAAGAAACGCAAACATGCACCTCAGTGACAGCAGCCTCATACCAATAATATCAAGTGCAATTTGTCCTTTATTTCCCAGAATTCCTTTACTTTGTCTGGTTTAAGGGATGGTCCTCAATTAGTTGTGCTATGTTTCCTCTTGCTTGGTAAGCATTTTTGGTCAAACAAGGAATGGCAGAGTTCCACAATTAGATCAAAAGATCAATCCTAATGTACCATTTTCTCCTCACCCTCCTGCTGTAATAAAGTGGCTGCAGTTCTCCAGGGGACAACTCAAAATCCTGGGACTGATATTTCTAAATTAGCTGACTCTCTGACCTTGCTGGTAATTGCGTTAGTTTATCAATGTTCAACACAATTTATTACTCTCCAATATGTACCAAAGTGTTTATCTCTCAACACTAACAATATTAAAAAATCTAAACTATCTATTGCAGCACAAAGAAGCGTCCTTTCATTAGGGAGAAACATAAATAAGTGGGAAATGTCACACGATCTGCCTTAGTACAAAAGAGTTGTGACTCCTGAAAGGGAGGGGGAAGTTGCCTCCTCTGATTTAACAAGGCTAGTTACTAAAATCTGGAAGGAGTGAAATTGAGTTTTATTTCTGTTTGTGTGTGATGCAGGAATGAAATGATGCTTTATGCATTTCTAAAGCAATGGCTTCATTCCAGGAAAAACGAATGGCGTCGATAAAGCCTTATCAAAGCACTTGAAAGTAATGTGGGTCCTGATAGCATCTTGCTCTGGCTTTAAACATGGTGCACTTTGATGGAGACAAGCATTAAGTTCATAGGTCCTATTCTGGGGTGAGAAAATCAACAGCATTAATTCACTACGCTCATCTTAATCATTTTATTATATGTTACTTAAACCTTATGTTTGATTATTCTGGTGAACAAGCTGTGATAAAACTCTGTGCCTATTAGACTAACTCAAAGCAATATGGTACTGAAGTATCCCCCCACCACACACACAAGTTGTCTGGTTTTAACATACTGAGGGCAAGTAAATGTGGCATGTCCTGGCTATAAACAATGTTAATAACCTACCCAGGCAGAAGTAGGTGTGATAAAGATCATACTCTCCAACATTAAGTAATGGCTACCCTTTATCTACTTAAGTCCTTCCCCCAAGAAGTAGACTGCTCTTTACTGTTTCTTCACAGATGATAGAGAAGTTAGGATGGATTCAGTGCATACCCACCCACTCACACACTTACTATCTCCCGTTAAACTGAATCCCTGTGTTCATTCTTCACTCATGGGAATGAGTTTCAGAGACAGCTCATACTCAAATAAAACTCGTCTGAAGGCTTGCCACGCTTTGGCATCTTCATCCTAAACTCTTAGAGTCTTTAAATTATATGTCATATTATCACTACTGTTACTGTTGTTACATATTATTATTACTATATTACCATTATTACCATTGTTACTGTTTTACTTTATTAATAATAAACCTGATATCTTTCCAAGGCAGATAGATATATTTTTAAATTTTTTTTGTTTACCAGCAGCTCATTTTAGTACAAAGAATAAAATACCTTTGGTAATAGAATTATTAAATTTGAGTCCTCTAAGCAATTCACCCTAGGGTTTTTCATAACACTTTAAACCCCATATTTGGGAAACTTGATTGTTTTAATTATAAGCCGAAGTCCTAGAAATTCATTTAGTTTAAAAAAAAATCTGCAACTTCTCTGACATTACTGTAGTGTTGGATGTTATTTATGCTACACTAACATTGCCAACCCAAAGCAAGAAAGCCCCCAAATCTGACCACTGTGTGTGTTGCTCAAGCTAAACTGTACATGTCATCTGCCCTGGTTTAGATGAAGATTTAACATGCACGGAGCACCTCTCAGGAGCCACATCCTGTTCTATCCATTTCATGTATACACTGCATCCTTTCATTAGAAAATATAATACATGAACTTTTGTCCATTTAATAAAGCTTTTACTCAGCTGTGTTGATTAACCTCATAGTGTTTTATTTTCAATAAATAATGACATTTTTTCATTCAGGTAAAAATAAAAGATAAAGAGTAACAATTTGAGCGACAAAAGTCATTGTATTTTATCAAAGTAGCAGATCTTATAAGTATTGAAAAAAAACCCTCTGTCTTAGTTTACTAAGACTACTGTAACAAAATAACTTAGACTGATTCACTTACACATAACAAGAATTTAGTTCTTACAGTTCTAGACTCTGGAAAGTCAAGATCAAGGTGCCAGCAGATCCAGTGTCTGGTGGGGACTCACTCTCTGCTTCACAGATGTTACTTTTTCAGGTGTCCTCACATGGTGAAAGAACAAACAATTAATAATATGACATATAATGTAAAGACTCTAAGATTTATTATAAGGACACTAATCTCATTCATAAGGATAGATCCCTCATGACCAACACCCAACTTTAAAGGCCCAACTTTTAATACTATTACATTGGGGATTAGGTTTCAACATAAGAATTTTGAAGAGACATACACACTCAAATAATAGTAACCTGGATAGCATTAGAGTCCATAATACTCAGTGATTTGTCACAGAAACAAAGATCTGAGTACCACATGTAATCACTCATAAGTGATCCCTGAACATTAATCATGACACTGTAAGAAAGGGATTGGCAGTAGTGGGACACTGCTAGAGGAGGGAGGTGGCACATAACATCAATAAGCATACTCACACTTTACTGGTACGATAACCATGTATGTACCTAACCCTGAATTGTACCCCACATTTTAAAAATAAAAATAAAAAACACAACAAAAAAACACAAAGATCTAACAAAAGTAAATTATATGTGAAGAGAAGTCATCAAAATATAATAAATGCAACTTTTAGCAAAAAGCAAACAAACAGATGGCTGGATCCAATTGCTATGGATGGACTTTTAGTTTTCTAGCAATTACCAGATGGCTTTAAGGTTATAAAAATATTGACCAACAAGGTATGAGGCTATTCCTTTCTGGTTCTTTCATCATAGGATGTTATTGCTCTTTAAAATTCCTGCCAATATAATGAGGAATAATAAGGTGACTGACTATCTCATGTTTAAATTAAAATTTCCCCAACTATCAGTGAGAGTGTGCATCTTTTCATATGCTTATTTATTTATTTTTAGTCTGCCTATTTATATCCTTTCCCCTTTTTTCTTTGAGATGTCCCCCCCCCCCTTGTAAATCAAATTGTGGCAGCTCTTTCTGTATCAGGGATATTTGCCCTTCGTATAGGTCAGGGTTTTCAGTTGATAACAGTGGAAACTGGCTGTTTGAGATTGTCAGAAATTTGTTAAAGGATGTTGAGCTGCTGATAGAATCAGTGGTAAGAGAGTCTTGAGAAACAGGCTTGAGGACAAGATTCCAGGAACAGTACACACACACACACGAAGCATTGAACTGGCTTAGGGAGAACACACACCACCACATCTGTGGCTCTGCTGCTGTCCACTCCTGCAAAGTCAAGTCACCTCACAGAGCCTGTTCCCTCAGGTGGTTTAGTTCTGAATCATGAGGCTGCAGGTAACAGACTGAACACAGGAAATACAGCTGTGCTCCATCTGCAAAGTGGGTGGGAAAAGTGAATTTTCTTACAGTCCTACTTAGAAACAGTGGGATTCAGAATGTGGTTTATCTATACATAGGATGGATATTCAAAAGTGTTTGTGCATCACAAATGATTGATGTCCGTTGTACCTTTTATCTGTCTTATGAGTTGCAAATATTTTTCTTTAATCTATATTTTGGCTTTGTTCATGACATCTTGTATCATATAATTACTTTTAAAATGTTTCTCTCTGTTTATGGCTTCTGGGTTTTCTATCTTACTTAAGAGGCTCCTAAATTTTCTTTTAATATTATTTTACTTTTTACATTTGGATCTTCAATTCATAAGGTTTAGTTTCATATATGAAATAAATTGGACGCAAAGATTTTTTCAGATGAATATCAACACCAGAAAAACCGGTTTTCCTCCATTCATTATTTTGTAATACGTTAAGTTCCCATATAAACCTGTGTATCTTTCTCAGCTCTCTATTTCACTAGTCTTATTCTTGTGCAAATCTATGATGTTTTGAATTATAAGAATTCTTTTTGAAGCTTTATACTGACTTATTAACAAGTCCCAACAGGGCTTTACTTTTTCTTCTCAACATCCTGTTCTGCGGCCTCCTTGGTCCTCTTTGCCCAAAGGCCAAAGAGCCTGGCGTTGGCGCGGGCCATGCGGAGGCTGGCAAAGGCCTTGAAGTTCTTCTCCTCCTCAGTGATGACTCTGGCTTTCTCCTTCTCGTAGATGTTCCGAATGGGCGTGACCTGTCCGGTTAGCTGGGTGGCCAACTTGAGTTCTTCGGCTGAGCGGTCTCCCTTCTTGGGTGCCTAAGGCTTCCTGGGGAAGAGCAAGAGCTTGGAGCGATACCCCTTCAGCCGCTGCACGTTGGCCTGCAGGGACTCGGTGGACTTGTTGCGCCTTCTCGGGTCCACGGAGATGCCGACAGTCCAGGCCACCTTCTTGAGGATGCCAGCCATCCGCAGCTTCCCCAGGCTGAAAGCCCCTGCCGGTTCTCACTCAGGTGTGGTACCTCAGGGTGGGGCACCTGAGGATGGGCCAGACGGGTCCCGACGCGGGGTGCTGGGCGATGCGACGGATCATGGCCCGCCCAGCCTTGGGTCTGAGGATCTTCTGGACCGGCTGATTGAACCACGTGGCCACACGCCGCTGCCAGTCCTCTTGGAATGTGGCTTCAGGATCGTGCCATTCCGGCTGGGCGCCGTGGCTGCCTGCGGCCGTCCTCCGCAAGAGAACAGCCGAGCGGAAAGCGAATTATAAGAATTTTAAGTAACTTTTATAGTTTTAGTAGTAGCAATATACTTTAATAGTGGATCTACAATAGAGATTTTGTTGCTTTTTATGACTGTCTCAAACATTTTAAATAGAAAATTTAGAACGCTTTTACTCAGTTCTAAGAAAACTAATTGAATGTCTGTTCAAAGTTACATTAAGTTTGGTAAGAATCAACCACGTTGTAAGATCAGGATTGACATCCAAGCATACACTCTTTATTCAGTTCTTTTCTTCATCTCTTAATAAGAGTTTGCAGTTTTCTTCGTATAGGTCAAGTAAATTTCTTCTTAAATTAATTCCTGGGTAAGTTACAGTTTTTATTACCATGTGAATGGAATATTCTTTCATTTCAAATAATAATTGTTGACTAGTAGTATAGACAAAACAATGAACTTTTGTTTATTTATCAACATAAGACATCTTTCCAAGTTCATTTGTTACATCTTGATAATAAAAGTTTCATGGATCAAATAAAGCATTTTATTAATCTTTATGTAATATACCAATTATTTGACATATTTATTTTATTAAGTGAAACCTCTTAAATAATGATGAATATGATGAAGGTTGCTATAATTCTTGTGTTTTTGTTAATTTTAGTAATAATGATTTAAATATATAACTGTGATCTTTGTAGCTGGTTTTGAAATAGACTGTATCACATTTAAGTAATTTCCTTCTGTGTAACTTTATATTTAAAATATTTAATGGAATAATTGCTGATTTTTTAAAAGTACCTATTCAACATCTATCAGTATAATCACATGGGCTTTCTCATTTACATTTTTGATATAATTTTGTTGTTGAATCATTCATGCAGTTCAGGACTAAACACTATTTGTCATATTTCTTGTGAATTCAATTAATTAGTATTTTCTTTAGAGTTTATTTTGTACCATAGTATCAAGTTTGGGTATCAGGTATTAGCAACTTTTACTAATGTTTTCCTTATTTTTCATACTCTTGTTTTTTCATCCTCTAGTTCCAAAGAGTAGAAGCTATATAGAGCACATTTTTTCTCTATATAAAGAACCATATTTCTTTAATAACAAATGAGATGTTCTTTGAGGTATTGTATTTCTTCTTATGAGATCAACTAGAATGTATTGCAGAGAGATTATTCTTCTTCTTACTTGGAGATTTGAACTAGATTATGTCTAAGGTCCCATTCAATCCTAACAATCATAATTATTGAATTACATAGGTGTTAGAAGTATAGACTCCAGAGTCAGATTCTAGGGTTTGGATACGAATCTAAGACTTAGTAGTTGTGACAATTTACTTAACTTCATAAAGCCTCAGTTTCTTCATTTTCCAAAGGCAAGGATTAAAGGAAAAACCTATGTAAGTCATTTAGCATAGTGTTTGGCATATGATAAACACTCAGTAAATAATTTCATGTGGATAGAAATTTTCAAGACTTTTTTAGAAAGGATACTTTTCATTTTTAATATGTGGTTTATGTAAGAAAGTTTTTCTTTTAGTATTGTCATGTTCTAGAAAAGTCTTCTTTTGCACAATTATTGTCTTTTTTTAAAAAAACGACTTGTTTCTTAAATTGTCTTATTTTTTGTAGTTTATTTTGGGACTTTTTCTGGTTCTCCACATAATCTTTGGGTAGTGTCAATCACTCTCTTGGCTTTAATTATCATCTATTTACAGATGACTTCCAAACAGCTCTCTCTTCTGAGCATTGGATTCACAAATCATCTGCCTACTAAATGCTCTCACCTGGACATTCCAATGGCACTTCCATCTTGATACAATCACAATGAATCCACCATTTCTCCTCAGATGTTCTCCTAACATGCACAGTCTTGAATGTTATCTGTTTTTAGAAATTATGCTACAATTCTTGTTCACATCAGAAATCTAGAATTATCCTTGACTCCACTCTCTCCACCCTCGTCTCTAATTCCCAAGTTCTAAAATATTCCTCATAGCAGTCCATTACACACCATCCCCACTGACACAGCTCTAGTTTTGGAAAGCATTAACAAATTATTACTTTTGGTTATGAACCACTTCTTTGAAAATGCAAATCTGATGGACCAAGCCCACTACTTCAAAATCAATTTTAATCTCAACTTTCTAACTTTGTTCTCCAGTTGTAATAAATTTATTTTAGTTATTTGAATACATTTTACTTTTTCTTCATTTGATGTCTTTGTACACAAGAAATATTAACTGGAACACTTTCCTATTGTTCGCTGACTGTCTTACTACTGTTCATCCTTAGGTCTTTACTTAACAAAAGCGATATCAGCAATAATATCAATGAAAACAATGAGAATGAAAGTGAACAGTTAATGTATACTTACCACGTGCCAGGCACTCTGCCACATGCTTCAATTATGTCATCACATTTCATCTTCATGGCAACATATGAGATAGGAACTTGTATTAGCTCACACATGAAAAATCTGAGGCTTAGAGAGTTAAAGTAATTTTCCCAAGGTCTTGAATCTTGTATGTGGGAGAATTTGGATTTCAACCCATGTCTCTCTCATTTCTGTGCCTGTTCTCTTTAGATATCATCTGCTCCAGAAGGTATTCCTGGCAAATTATCCTCTTCCCTTTATGTTCATCTGTGCACCACACTCTATAGTGTAATAATTTGTTCCATTCTTTGTGTCTCCAACTAGTTTCGGAACACTAGAAAATCAAGGAGTGCTTGTCCTTTTATTCTTAGCACCCTGCACAGTGTCTAGCATATAGTAGGTGCTTAATAAATATTTAATATATAACTACCATGGTCTGAATATCTGTGTACCCCTAAAAATTATATTGTCGTTTTAAGCCTTTAGATGATACTATTAAGAAATGTTAAGATGATTATATTGTGAGGGAAGAACCCTTATGAATGGGATTAGTGTCCCCATAAAATAAACCCAGAATACCAGGTCAAGAACTCATCCTAGAAGAAGTGCGACATACCTCATTGCTGAATATCACTATGGTCACCTTTGAAATACTCCTCTCAGGAAGCTATGCACCAACACTAGTGCCTAGTCCTCCTCACTGATGATGAGAGGTCTGGAATGGCTATCAGAGCTATCATCATATTACCCTTGATGTTCTAAATGTCATCAAAATGTTTTCCTTTAAATATTTCCTTCATCTTGGGTAAAGAAAAAAGTCATTGGGGGCTAGATCCAGTGAGTAGGGCAGGCTTTTCAATACAGTTATGTATTTACTGGCTAAAAACTCCCTCACAGACAGTGCTGTGTGAGACGGTGCCTTGTTGTGATTCAGGAGCTCCTTTGGGATCATTTTTGCACACACCTTTCTCATGCCAAGATTTTCAGTTAGGATTTTTGTAACTGTTTCTCTCCTGGTGCTTATTTGGTCTGCTATGCTTCTCACAGTCAGCTGACAATTTTGATGCACAATTTGATACATTTTTACGTTTTCATCAATTCTGCTTGTTACTGGCAATCCTGACATCTTTTCATCAATGATGTTTTCTCCCCCCTTCAGAAAAATGTTTAATCCATTTGTACACTGCCATTTTCTTCATGACATTAGCCCTATAAACTTGGACTAACGTGTCCCTGATTTCACTTCCACTTTTGTCAAGTTTGATGTTTATTTTTGGCTTTGATTCAAGCTCCTGCTTTCTTGTGATGGCGCACAAAAACATGCAACAACAATGATGAGCACCATTCATCAAGACACTGCCACAAGTCAACATGAACACAGCTGTGAGACACTGATATACCAAGGTTATGAAACCTTTCTGAGTTGTTCGTACTGCACTGCCAAGCGCACGGTGGTAAGTTCACAAACTTAATTGTCAGATCTTGTATGCTTCTGGCCCCTTCTATCACAGGAGGACATAGTGGAAAAAATGCTGTCCGTGAACTAGAAAGTAGCACCTCACTGGACACCAAAACTGCTAGTGCCTTGATCTTGGACTTCCCCATTCTCCCTAGCTGTGAGAAATAAATTTCTGTTGTGTATAAGCCACCCATTCTATGGTATTTGTTATGGCAGCCTGAATGAACTAGGGAGTCTGATAATGAAGTTTATGAGCTTTTCACTATGTGCTTACATTGGCAGCACCATACAAACAACTTGGAAAGGTTTCATAACCTTCGTATATCAGTGTCTCACAGCTGTGTTCGTGTTGATGTGTGGTGGTGTCTTGCTGAGTGGTGTCCATTATGGTTGCATGTTTTTGTGTGCCATCGTGAGAATGTCAGAGCTTGAATTAGAGTAAAAAATAAGCATTAAATTTCTTGTTAAACTTGGCAAGAGTGGAAGTGGAGTCAGGGACATGTTAGTCCAAGTTTATGGGGATAATGCCATGAAGAAAATGGGCATGTACAAGTGGAGTGAACGTTTTTCTGAGGGGAGAGAAAGTGTCACTGATGAAGACAGGTCAGGATGACAAGTAAGAGCAGAACTGATGAAAACATTGCAAAAATTTGTCAAGTTGTGAATCAAAATCGTCAGCTGACTGTGGGAGGTGTAGCAGACAAAATAAACATTAATAGAGAAGCAGTTAAACATTGATAGAGAAACATCTTAACTGAAAATCTTGACCTGAGAAAGGTTTATGCCAAAATGGTCCTGAAGGAGCTCTTGCCTCACGACAATGCACCAGCTCACACAGCACTGTCTGTGAGGGAGTTTTTAGCCAGTAATAAATAACTGTATTGGAACACTTTCCCTACTCACCTGATCTGGTCCCCCAATGACATTAAAAATATTTATTTAAAGATATGGAGTTCAATTCAGGGTTAGGTATACAAATGGTCATGCAGAGGTAATGTTTGGGCCTCACTTTGGTCCCCACTTCATCTGGTTTGAGATCAGGTACCCTTATTGATGAAGTTGACCTCTCTCCCTTGGCAGTTTCCCACTACTGCCAATCCCTTTCTTATAGTATTATAATAATTGTTCAAAGTCTACTTGTAGGTGAGAACATGTGGTACTCAGTTCTTTGTTTCTGTGATAGATCGCTCAGTATTATAGACTCTAAGTCCATCCAAGTTGCTGCAAAGTTTATAATTTTGTCCTTTATGACTGTGCAATATTCCATTGTGTATATGTACCACATTGACATTTTTCTTTAACTGAAGATAAAGTATATAATGAAGGGAAGGTATTTTGATGATGTTTAAGACATCAAGGATAATACGGTAACAACTCTGATGGCTATTCCAGAAAAAGAGTTCCAAAATTACTTTGACAGGTGGGCTAGGTGCTGGCATTAGTGCATAGCTTCCAAAGAGGTATACTTCAAAGGTGATTGTAGTGATATTCAGCAATGAGGTATGCAGAACTTTTTCTAGGATGAGTTCATGAACTTAATTGTCAGAGCTTGTAAGACAGTAACCCAGAAGTCACTGGGGCCTCAGTGTCCCTTGGCCATCTCCATGGTCTTTTGGATCTAACACTCTTCCTGCAATTCCTTGTAAGTCTAGCCCTTATTTACTCAAGGTTTCTCCTCTCTCTGCTTCTGAGCTATAGCCTGCCATCTTGGTTAACCCCCGTCCCAGTTTTTACCATTTTCTCTCAAATACTACCACCTCACTAATAGTTTATTAATTTTATTGAAATAATGAGTGATTGTTAGTCATTCACAGTCTCCCACTCCTTTTTTCTAGTTTTCCTCTTATGCTTCCTTGAATTCTACATCCATGATTCTTCCTGCCACACTCAGCATCCAGGTGGGTACGCCTTTCTAAGACTTCCTGGAATTCTGGAAATAATGCCATTCCATTGCAGTTGAATGAATGAATGAGTAAATGAGTGAAGATGCAAATGAGTGAATAAGTTCAGGCTGAAGGTTTGAGCTTAGATCTACCTTATATTGCAAACCATTCCCCCAATTTTTCCTTACAGCTGAATAATTGAATATATTGATGCATCACATCTGGTAAAACTGTTTATATTTTATAGGTAACTCTGTTTAGTTATCTCTTAGGTACTGTATTATGAGAGAAAATTGTTTACTTTTTTTCAAAGTGTATTTTTATCTATTTTGGGTTCTGAGACTGTGAGATAAAGTGTCCTCTACTTCTTTGTGTCTGCAACATGATTTAGCAAAATGCTGTGTGCAGAGTAGGCACTCATTTAATAGTGAGTTGATTGATAGAATAATTATTCCACCTATAAACACTTCTGTAGTACATTACCTGATGAGTGTCTATTTCAATATGACTATGGCTATGACCTTCATGTAGTTCATTAGTAAATGAAAAGTATGCTCATTTCCATGGAAGGAAATGAGAATATAAAAAATGTGGTTCTATTTGTAGTGCCATTACTGTCTTACTATTTGATTAAGAACAAATTCTTAACCTTTTAATGCTACCAGTTACCTATGACTTTGATCTCAAGGCTACTGCAATTCCAAAATCCTGGGGAGGATAATGAAATAACCCTGACCTATTTGAAGGGATAAAAATAGGCCACAAATGAGAGAACTCATTGACCAAAATCAATCACTATAGAGGAGAGGTGATGTCTTTAGAAACAAACAAAAAAGCAAACAAGCAGTTTCACAATTACATTTTGTAATCATAACAATTCCCAGTGAGAGTATAGCCATTGTGCTGATAAGGACATCGAAACTGAGAGATTTTAAGAAATATGAGTCAAATCGTATAACTAGTGTGAAGCAGCCATTTCTTGCCCAGTATTATCCCTCCTCTCCTCTCCCCACCTCACATCAACATACTGTTCATTGTCACCTTCTGAGTTTTGAAATGCTTGTGGTGGGATACTTAAAGTCATGACATTCTAGTTTTTTAGGAAAAGGAAAACAGAACTACACTGACCAGAAGTGGCAGCTGAAATAGAAAAGACAACTAATAAAATCTTTGAACATTACCTATGGTCATGCATCTGATGCACCTTTACTGAAACCCTTTTCCGTGCCAGGCGCCATGCTACATCTGCCTTTATACTTACAAAAGGTGAAGAATATTGGAAACCAAAAATGGATATACTTTTCTCAAGGGAGGAAAAAGAAATATTATCGGGAATCAGGATCAGGTGAAAACTAGATTATAAAGAATAATAACACATTAGGAGCAAACACAGGAGGGTTATGATATAAATGACAAATGGGCAGAAAATGATTTAAACAGTCAGTAGAAACAAACAAGGAAAAGATACCCACATGAGTGAAAAGAGACATGAATGTAAAGAAGAGAAAAGCAAAGCTCTGCTGCAAAGAGGATTCGGGGTCGTGAAAGGTGAGAGGGTTCCCAGGTGGGCAAGGGGAGGAAGGGAGGACATTCCAGGTAGAGGGAAAAGCAGACATGAAGGCAGTGAAGCATGCGGGGCCTGTGTGTTTAGGGGCTGTGAGGGTTTTAGTCTACCTGAGGGCCAAGAGCCACTGTGAAAGTGAAAGCAAAGAAAAGTGAAAAAGCAAACTGAAGCCAAATCAAGGAGAATCTTGAGGTGAGGAATTTGGCTTTGTTTGGGCTTTGACTGTAAGCAATGGAGGAGCTGAAAGAAATTTTGAGCAGGAGATCCTAGGATTGAATCTGGGTTTTAGAAACAATATATTGATATTAAAGAGGAGATGGATCAGGTGTAGGTAGTGGGAGTAGGAAAAAGAATGGGGAGACTGGGGTTAGACATTATTTCTGTGAACTAGAAACTGAAACCACTTTTCCATTGGCAGGTAAATGGGAAATGCTACATATCAGCTTTGCTCAATGATTTGACTTGAGTTACAGTCATGTGAAAGTTGGTATGTTTGATAACATCTGAAAGTTGTCACTGACTAGTAATTCTCATTGCTCTTTCTTTTAAATTAAGACTCACTCCGATGATTTTATGGCTGTCTTTGTGCTAAGATTGTTTCACTAATGCTTTTTTTCTTATTTGCTTCCACTGACTGTTTAAATCCTTTCCTGCTAGTTTGACATTTATATCATAACTCTCTTGTGTTTTTTCCTTAATGTGTTATAATTCTTCATAATATGGTCTTTACCTGTTTCTGATTCCTGCTAATATTTCTTTTTTTTTCTCCTGAGAAAAGTATATCCATTTTTGGTTTCAAATGTGCTTCACCTTTTGTAAATATTAAGGCAACGATTCAATTTAATTTTTAAAATAATGCTTTTCTATTTCTTCTTCTGTCAATAAATTACTTTTGTCATCTTTTAAAAGCTGTATTGTCTCATAATTTTCTTCTGTGCTCATACTGTTCCATTTTGTTGTTCCCTAGAGGATGTAAGAATATATATTGATATAATGAACAATGTGGAAAAAAAAAACCAAGAAGAATTTAGGGTCATATTCATACTCTATAGTGTTTACTAGTGATCTATTTCAAAATAAGACTTATATTTCAGTCCTGATGAATCAAATATTTAAGAAACATTCTTTAAGTGGAGAAATATACATGGAAAAAAAATCACTACTGACCCTGTGAGGCCTCCTTGAAAGATTCTTGCTGCGGATGATTTAACTTCAATTTCAGTCCTGCTTCTGCTACTAAGGTTAGCATAGTGCACATTGCTCATGAGGGCTCTGGGAGTATAAATGGGGGTCAGAGATCAAAAAACATAAGATATAATATTAGGTAAAATATTAGCAGCCCTGGAAATATTCACAAAGTCATACATTATGTTAGAGCTACCGTATTCCATGTAGGGAAATAAAAGTGGGAAATTGCACAAGTGACTTATTCCTTTTTTATTACAGAAATTAAAGATCTAATTTAGAATTTTGAATTTATGTAAATAGCCATTAATACCATTTTATTAGTTCAGGTACTCAGGGTATGAACATATAAATAGAACAGGGTTTTTATAGAGTCTACATTAGTAATTAGAGAGTCAAAGTTTATATGTACATGTATATATAAGAGGTTTTTAAAATTTATAGAACTATGAAGATGCTCTGAGCAACCCTTCAAATTCATATTAAATCATGTTTATGAAAATTACTTCATAGATTTTTTTTTCTTCTTTACTAATCACATGATGGTGTGTGGTGATATTGATGCTGAATATATTGGTGACAACTATCAGTTCTTTGTACCTTACAAGTACTTTGGCACATTTGCCATATTTGTATTGTGTCATTCAACCTTCCAAGTCCTACAATTTAGACATCATTCTAGTTTTACAGATGAAGAAAGAGACTCACAGGGAGATAGAAGAACTTGCCCAAGTTCATGTAAGCATGTAGCAGAACTGGGAATGAAAATTAGCTTTGACTGTTAACTAAGGTTGTGCTCTTCTGTTGACCATGTGACATTAGCTATAAAGAAGCACTGACTGTGAACAGAGGTAGAAAATGACTCCATTTAACCCATGATAAGATGGTAGCTTTTTTTTTTTCCCCACTAGGAGTGTTCACAAAAAATCCTGATGATAATTCTGCATAGTTTTTCTCTATGTTATATTCTGGTGGATCACTATATACTTCATAAATATCTAAGTCTTGGACAGAATGCAATAAGTTTTGCTCTTTTACTTTGGCATCTCTTGAACTTGTTTGAAAATTTGTACTTGTACTAGTAAAAGTGGAGAATTATATCACTATTGAATCAACCGGAGTTGTTTATTTCTTTTCTTTGTTTCACCTTTATTTCTGCCTTTAAGAATGGATAAATGTAATATATATGCAAAAAGAAGAGGCATACCCATATACTCGTTAAGATATTTTACCAAGTAGGAAAATACCAATATCCTAAGGCTACTGTTTGCTCTTCCTGCACTCTATTCTTTTCCTTGCTGTCAGAGATAACTATAATTCTGAGTTGTATGCTTAATGCTTCTTTGTTTTTCTTCAAGATTTTATCATATGTGTAGGTGTTCCTACATATTTATAATGTCATTTTAATTTTGAGCTCAACATAAGTCTTTTGAGATACAACCATTTTAATTCTTGTAATTGTAGTTTTTCCTTTTCACTGTACTATATTTTACTAATCCTATATGTTATATTAATATGCCGTAATCAAGCCTTTCTATTATTAATAAGTTTTGGATTTTTCTTATAATTTTGCTGCTACAAATATATTTGCTATGAATATGTTTGTATGTGTCTTCTAAGGCATGTATACAAGGTTTTCTTCAGAGTATTTGTCTAGGAATGGAACTGATGGATCATACTGTATGTAATTATTCTAATTTAGTAAGGAACAATTATTTTCTAAAGTGGTTGCACTAAATGTCATTTCTACCAATCTAAGATGTAGATATTCCTATGTTCTTATTGACATGTTGTGTCAGCAAAATTCATAAGTTACCTGACTGTTGGGTGTGAAATTGTATCTCTTTGATGTTTAATTTTCTCATCTTTTATTTCAGAGACCTTGATTATTTTTTATATAATTATTGGCCATTTGTGTTTCCTCTTCTAGTAAAATGCTTGTTCCTATCTGTTTCTAATTTTTCTAACAGTTGTTGACCTTGTTCTTATTATCCTTTTCCTAGGAATTAGAAACATGTATCTGGATACCAATTCTTTGTTAATTATATTTGTTATAAATATATAAATTGCCTCCTAGATTTTGACTTTTCAAATAATAACTTTCTTGCTCCCTTTCTTTCCCACAACTTATCCCCAGAGTGGCTAGAAACCTTAGGTAACAAATTGGGAAAGGAGAAACAGGGAAAGACAGAAAAACTGACCACACTCTTTACCTGACTCAGAGTTTCTGCCCTGCAGTAGGCTCCAGCTAGAAAGATAGAACTTTAAATGAAGATGGAAGCATTGGCAATTACACTGAACTGCACATTCAGGAGTGATGCAGCAAGCATGACAGGCAGGCTTCATGAAGTCCTTTTCCTCAGGCTTAGGCTTAGGAAATAGTGCTTAGAGCATAGTATTATTATTATTATTTTTTTGAGTTGGAGTCTCACTCTGTCACCCAGTCTGGCCACCGCAGCTCGACCTGCTGGGCTCTGGCGATTCTTCCACCTCAGCCTTCCAAGTAGCCAGAATTACAGGCATGCGCTACCATGCCCAGCTGATTTTTGATTT